GGCAAGAGACAAGAAGGCTTTCATGTCTCTGAACTCTACTGCCTTCTTCCACCCTCCCTATTTCCTACTCGTTGGCATCCCTGGGCTGGAGAAGGAGCAGTTCTGGATTGCCTTCCCCTTCTGTATCATGTATGCCATTTCTGTGCTGGGGAACATCACCCTTCTCCTCATTATAAAGGCAGAACCAGGCCTGCACGAGCCCATGTACCTCTTCCTGGCCATGCTGGCCTTCACTGACCTGGTCCTATCAACATCCGTGCTACCCAAAACGCTTGGCATCTTCTGGATGGGCTCTGGGGAGATTGGGTTTGTCTCCTGCCTTGTTCAGATGTTCTTCATCCATACCTTCTCGTCGGTGGAGTCGGGCGTGCTCACGGCCATGGCCTTCGACCGCTACATCGCTATTTGCAACCCACTGTGGCACTCCAGCATCCTCTCTGTGACGGTGGTGGTAGCCCTCGGAAGCCTGGTGCTGGTGCGTGGGGTCCTCCTGGTGAGTCCCAGCTGCTTCCTCCTGCACAGGATGCCCTTCTGCCAGCATCACATCATCTCCCACTCCTACTGTGAGCACATGGCTGTGGTGAAGCTGGCATGTGGGGACACCAGAGTCAATGTCATTTATGGCCTCTTTGTGGCTTTGGTAGTGATAGGATCTGACACGATCCTGATCTCTGTGTCCTACACCATGATCCTGCGGGTGGTAATGAGGCAACCATCTACAGAGGCACGACTCAAGGCCTTCAGCACTTGTGCATCCCACGTCTGTGTCATCCTTGCCTTTTATGTCCCTGCCCTCTTCACATTCTTCACCCACCGGTTTGGGCAGAGCATCCCTCCCTACATCCATAAAATGGTCGCCAACCTCTACCTGCTGGTGCCCCCCATGTTAAACCCCATTATTTATGGTGTGAGAACCAAAAAGATCTGGGACAGGGTGGTCCTTCTCTTCCGGCAGAAGGGAAACTGACCCATATGTATGTGCCTCAAACTGTTCTCGTAACTTACTGATGATGCTGGTAAATTTAACAAGAGTTAATGCTGTGACTATTTGTTCAGGGAGAAACTCTCCCTCAATTCCAGGAGTTTAAGCAATGCATTCTTGCAGAAATCACTAGACTGTCTCTTCTGTTATCACTGTCTTGGAGGTTTCATCCATTGTCTGATGAAATTTGGCATAAAGACATTCAGTCTGGCGTCTACACCGCTGGGAGATGGAGAGTTCGCCCCTCCCAGAAGTTAAACTCCTCACTGTTAAAATTCTGTCACTATTAAAATAAATACCCTTTCCTTAAAAAAATATCCTTTCATGATTAAAATATTTACACCGTAAGGCTGAGTATCTCCAAAAGACCTTCCTGCAGCAGCTTTCATTATGTGAAGCGTGTTCCCTGGACTGTGTGATGGTATTTAAAAGACATGCAGCTGTGGGGCTTCGGGACACAGTTTAGTGGTGGACTTGGCAGTGTTAGGTTAATGGGTGGACTCGATGATCTTAGAGATCTTTTCCCACCTAAATGATTCTATGATTCTGTGGGAAGGTGCTCAGGTGGGAATGGTGACTGTCCTTGTGGAAGGAAATGGGTAGAATTCATTTTTAAGCACTAACCTTTTTTTTTGTTGTTGTAAGGCAGGTAAAACCTACAATAATCCTATGCTAGCAAATTCCAAAAGTCCCATGTAAATGTAAACCCTTTAAAAAAATATCAGGAATCCTCACTGATGCAATTATTTGGAGTGTCCTATCACAGGGAGACCGTTGCTAACAGGATTGCACTATAATAATATGTCAACTATCCCAATAAAGAGGCAAACGTGGTTTACAAAATCACTTCTCTATATCTGGAAAAGGTAAGCAGCAGCAGGAGGTGAAGGTTAGATGACCCAAACTCAAGTTAACGAAACTCAAGCATGTTACCAACCTTTGCTCTATTTTTAGTGCAAACTGAAGAGCACTAATGGATGGAGAGGAGATCTCTGACCTGGCCAGGCATTTCTTGCAGCTCTCTATCTTCCTGAGCAGCCCTGACTATTGTGGCCACCCATGAGGAGCCTACGGGCTCTGCTATCTCTCTGTGAGCGGGATACCAGCAGGGAAGCAGGACAGGGTGCCCAGGAAGAGAACATGCACTTCTGCTGAAGCAGGGCAGATGTTGGGTTGCAGACAAAATGCGAAATTATTCTTTTTTGGCACAATTTCAGTAGAATACTTAAATTTCACCTCAGTTCATCCTTTTCCTCCAGCTAAAAGAGAAGTAGCTTTTCACAGACCACAGACGAGAGGTAGGGGAACCCAAAGGAGGAGAGCTACAACTGCACTTCATCTAAGAGCCAGTCTCAGAGCACCCACTTCATAAAGCAGGGCTGCACCATTTCTTGTGGACTAATGTTCACCCACATTAGTGAGTGGGTAGAGGTAGAACTCCTGTTTTTCTGCAGACTCCACAAAAAATGTTGTTTTCATTTTCATTAAGAACATGACCAATGTCCATCCATCCACTATGCTGTCTCCTCCAGTGGCAATGGGAGAGGTCTTCTAAGAGGTGCCTTTTTCAAGTAAGAAATGACAGCAAGGGATTGTTGTGGTCAGCAAAGGTGCCTGCCTGACTCCTAGAGCTCCTTGGGACCTAGGGGATGTGTCCATACAAGCCATCGCCGCCACATAACATCAGATACTTGGCACCAATAGCTTGGGCTCCTACTCTAGGATTCCCTTCTCTGCAAGTAAATAAAGCTGGCTGTGACATCTGGATCATTGCACAGGATGGATAGGGTGGTTGTTGGGGTGGGAGGGGGTCAGCAGTGCCCTCCGGTCAATGCTAACCCTGCACGTGAGCTGCCTGCAGAAAGTGGTGGGAAAGCCAAGGAGTTCTGTACCCAAACCAGGAACACAAGCACACTTTGACTGGGGGGGTGGGTGTACAACTTTGGGGTGGTGCTTTGAAATCCAAAGGCAATAAAAGGTCCCATTGCTGAAAAAGGCCAAACCTGAACGTTTTGACAGGTAGCCCAGTGTTTTCAGGAGTTTCATCTCCTGACAGTGGTGCCGGAGGCCTCAGCTGCCAGGAAAGGGAGATCTTGCCACCATCACTCTCTCCTCTTGGTAGGTTCACATCTGTCCCTCTAACCCCTGCAGAGGGTCTCCTAGGAAAGTTTCCTCCTGTCTGATGTCCCCTTGTTGAAGCCAGAAGCTAACACCACATTCAAGTCCTGCTTTGACTTCACACCCAGTTTCTAGTCCTGTTTAGCTCCTGGTGCTAACGCAAGGCAATTCCACAGTAGCACCCCACTTGACGCTGGGATTCACTCTTAATAGTGTGTTTGCATCATCTCCTTTGAGATAGTGGATCAACCACAAGAAAAGAAGCAGAAGTATCCAGTGAGCCTGGGAGTCCTGGGGGATTTTGTGGAGTGGAGATATAAAGATGCATTCACTGGCAGCCTGGAGGCAAGATGCTCAGACAGGTCATAGTTGGGTATTGCTCCATATTTAAGGCAAAGTGACCTGCTTTTTCTGGGCTGCTTTTCACATGGCAGCTGTTATATCATTTCAGATAACTTTGTCAGTGCTTCCGCAGCATTAATGTTAAAGTGATGATTAGTTTTAAAGGGAGGGGGATGCACATGTAATGAAGAGCTTGTTACCCTCAAACCCTTTTCTTGTCAATGAGGGTTGTACGCACCGTTGATCTGACCGGGGTAGACATCAGGGTGAGACAAACCGCCTTCTGGCAGCGCCTGTTCCCCAATGTGGTTGGTGGGGTCCAGACAACCAGCTGAGATGCTGATACCTACACAGCAGGCACCTGCACCCAGGTGAGGGGACAGTGACGTGTAAGGAAGGACAATCCTTGCCTGTGTTACAGCTTGGCAAGGTGGGTAAGTAGGACTGAAATCTCCTCAGCATGCAGAAGTGGTCCCTGTACACTACAGGGAACCGCCAGAGTTCTCCTCCCTGCGAGAGGGTGATTTGGTTCTTGTTCACTCCATTTATACTGGGAAACAGCACTTGTATTGGTACATATGAGAATGTCCAAGTCCAAAATCTTGTGCTCTTGGGCTAGCAGATGTCCACAGTGCTGCTTTTTGTCAGCACGCTGGTGAGTGCTCGTTGGCTGGATCCTGCAAAATGTTGCTGCACTATCTGGGTTCCCAGCTGCGCACAGCTCTCAAAGATGCAGAAACCACTTGGTGCAAAGGCATTTATATCAGGTCTTTGCTGCCAAGGTTATTTTTAGGGAAAGGAAAGATCACCAAGTCTGTTATTCATTCACAGAAAGAAAATAGACGTGCAAAGAATTTTTTAAAAAAAAAAAATCTAAAATGAGGATGAAGCTCACAGCCATCAGAGAAGACGTGCTCTGCAACAGCTGCATGGAAGGGATATGGGAATCTCATTCACAAAGCACTGGAAGCCACACTCAGCTATCCGGGTGGGGGAGTCACCTGGCAATGTCAGAGCAGGTCTAGGTATCTGCATGGTGCTCTGTCTCTTGCTCTTCTACAGGACAAGGAAAGACAGAGCAAGGAAAGGTGAACTCTCTCCATGACTCCCAAGTCCAGAGGTGGGCTTTCTGTATGAGATACAAGTCTGCTTTCACCCGTCATCCAGGATGCTGCCTCTCAAGTCTTTTTGCCCTCCGGTGCAACACAGTCAAGACAGTATCACATCTGCCAATCTTGTAAACAGCTCGCTCTGTCCTGGCATAGAGAAGCCCATAATTCAACCATCAACCAGGTACTGTGTCCCTCCATCTCCATAAGCTTTCTGACTTTTGGGAGCTGTACTTGTCCATGCGAAGAGATGATCACAAAGGTAAAATGCCCTCTTGCTGTCTCAGTAAACTCACAAGTCTGGATCCCCATCGCCACAGTGAGAGAGACGTGAAGAAAGCTTTGCTTTATGGCATGATTACCCTTTTATGATTTCTGTGAATTCTTTTGTAGGACAGATGGGATTTGCTGCTTGATCTTTGACAGGACAAAGATGCTGCACTAGGAAAATGACCAACAGTAGCTTCCTTAGACCTTCTACCTTCCTTCTATCAGGAATCCCAGGAATGGAAAGTGGGAATGTGTTGCTGGCCATCCCTTTCTGCTGCATGTACACTATTTCCATTCTGGGAAACAGTGCAATCCTCTTTGTCATCAAAGCAGAGCGCAGCCTCCATGAGCCCATGTACCTCCTCCTGTGCATGCTGGCTGTCACAGAGCTTGGTGTGTCTCTGTCTACGCTCCCCACAGTGCTGAGAGTGCTACTCTTTGATTCACGGGAGATCAGGTTTGACGCCTGCCTCGCCCAGATGTTCTTCATTCACTCCTTCGCCATCCTGGACTCTGGGGTGCTGTGGGCCATGGCCTTCGACTGCTTCATGGCCATCTACAACCCCTTGCAGTATGCATCCATCCTGACCAACCCCAGGATAGGTGTCATCGGGCTGGGGCTGACAGTGAGGAGCGTTAGCCTCTTGCTCCTTACCGATACTTCTGAAGAACCTGTTGTTCTGCAGGTCCCACGTGCTGGCTCACTCCTTGTTTGCACCCCAACTTACTCCAGCTGCCCTGTGCAGATATCAAGGTGAATAGCATGTATGGCTTATTTGTTGTCCTGGCCACCGTTGGGCTAGACTTGCTGTGTATCATTCTGTCCTACATCATAATCATTAAGACTGTGCTGAGTATCGCATCCAAGGAAGAGC